AATTCTGAAAAGTTACTAAATCTAGTGACAGCATTGCTCTTTGGGGGCATAGCGATTTTTCCATGTTAATTTAGATATAGTTTGGCTTAATTTTTTAGTATTTTAGTAATTATTCATCCATTACCATTGTAGTTACAAACTTAGTCGAGAAACTATTACTTATTCCTACCGTCCCCAAAAGCAATATAGTCACTACATATATTTAGTAACTTTTCAGAATCTAGTAACTTCGTAGGTTGGTATTGCTGCTTTTCTTACTATAAATTTATGTTGGCGTCACTCTTTGTCACTAGATTTAGTACTTTTTGATAATCTAGTAACTTTAAACTCTACAGGGGCCCGTTTTGCGGGGCGAAGTTACTACATATTGAAAAGATACTAAATCTAGTGACAAACAGTGATGCCAACATAAAAATCTACTGAGAAAAGCAGTGATATCATTTTACAAAAAAAGTTAATAAATTTATTGACAAATATGCTCTTTGGGACTTTTTTCATGTTTTTTTACCCAAAGTTTGGCTTAGTATTTTAGTAATTATTCATTCATTTTGCTTATTTGGTTCGATTCGAGCTTGCGCCGGTCCTGCGGGGCACCGCTTTACGGGGGAGGTTCGGGGACACTCCCCTCTTCAATCTGCGACCTCCAAATGGGATTTGGGATATCCTTTGATTATCGTTTAAGCTGCTTCGTGTTTTGAATAAAGAAAAAGAGATGTTACGGTGACTGAAATCCTTGTACGATGCCAATTGAATGGGGTTTTTACGCTTTTTCGGGAACTTTATTGTTTTGTTGGATCGTCTTTTGGAAATTCAACTATCTGGAGGGGTGATCGCTGATGCTATGAAATTACGGGCTCCCGTGAAAATCTTTGATTAGAGAAATGTATTACTTTACACACTAGTACGAAAAATAATGAAATAAATTAAACTTTGATATACAGTATGTTATTTTTATATGTTCTCCATTTTATCTCAGGGACTGGAGCTGATTTGACTAACGTTAGATTCTTTGGTTCCTCTTATTGTATATTTGGTGTCCAAACCATATATACAAGGCTGCGATTCCTATGATCACTGCAGTTATCCCATTAGACAGATACGTATACTGATGTAGTTTTTTCCAGGTTGTTTCTTTTTTGTTTGAAGTGTCTCTTCTTCAGATCGTATAACTTTTAAGTTGTCAATAATTTTAAACACAGTTTCTTCTACAATCTTATCATGTGACGCCAGTTATATTGTGGTGTTGATAGTAGGCGCTAGATAGAGCTTTTGAGTAGCTTTCTAGGACAGGAACAGTTTTCAATCTTTTTTGGAGATAAAATATTTTTTTTCGTTTTTATAATGCAGTGATATCTGAATAATTTCAGTCAAATTGAGTTTTAAGTCTTCTCGTATCCTTTGACATATGACGGCCACATTGGTTGGTTTACTGGTAAAAAAGAGCCATGTATTGGGCATGTGAAGCTGTTTTTATGTTATTTGTGCAGCCTGATGTTTTTTGATTTTGCACTGAGTGGTGTTTCGTAAATCTCGTTTATTACACAATTTGATGTGTCTCCAGTGTAGAAACAATTTTTAAATTTTTCACTTGTCGGTTGAAAGTAAAGCTGTGTATTGTATTGCACTCCTTTTATCTCATTTGGAATGTCTAATGTCTAGTAGTTTCCTTTATATATATTGAGAGGAGTTGGTGTTGCTTGCAATAGAGCGAATTCTGCAATACCTATCTACGATAGGTAAGAATGCAAAGATTTGAATGTGGGTCTCATTTATTTCCATCTTCATTCTTTAATAATATTTGTAGATTTGATGGGAGTTTTGATGTGGCTAATATAAGTTGGGGATATCAAATCATACAGAGTACCTTGATTATGTCTAGGAGTTTGTAGTAATATTCATTTAATTCCGCTAAGAAATTGCAAGCCATCTGGTAGGTGCTCAGTAGATAAATATTGAGTTTACTTTTATCTACAGAGTTGTACCATCTTTGAATCTCATTAACTGCAGTTAGTCCTTAATTAAGTATAACTCTGAAGCGTTCTATTGGTGGTTCTTTTTTAGTTCCATTGATTTTGAAGATAGTCAAAATCATAAATTTAGTTTAATGACTTGATGCCTTTATGAGTTGTTGATTTTCTTCAAGAGCATCGATGTCTTGGTAAACTTCGTCATTGACTCAAAATACGCTAGTTAGGAATTTATTCAAGATTCCTCTTTTGTGGCGATTCCTAGTGTTCCTTAGCAAACTGCTTCTATACCATCTGAGTTGCTCCTCTAAGACTTATACATTGAGTTTCATCAGTGCTTTAGCTAATTTACGGCCAAAGAAAAGGAAGAGACTACACATCACTGAACGTGGCGAACTGTGATTGATGTTAACGAAATTGAAACCCCATCCAAACAAATAATATGTGAGAACCAAAAATTATAACGTTTTTTTAGAAAATTTTAATTTTCCTACAAATTTATGGTATAATCAAGAATTATTATCCTGATAAGCTTTGACAGATATTAATTGAGAACATGATACATCTGAATAACCCGAACTTAAAATTACTGGCAGTCTAAACATCTGTCAAAGTTTTTCAGGCTCACAAATCTTATTGAAGTTTCGGTTTTTGAAAGTATTTATTGTACAAGAAAAATGTACCAGCATTATTAGCAATCCCCGTACCAAAATAGCATAAAGCGGATTATAGTTTGTCTAAAAAACTCCCCTTTTTAAAATACCCGTCATTAATCCATCCGAACGATTATGTGATTGCGCCCGTCAGCGTTTTCGGTAAAAAGGAGGCGGTTAAGCTGTAATTTACGTTTTCGGGCGGTCTCCGTCTAGAAGTGACACGTGAATTACCCGTGTTCGTATCTGGGAGGCGGCGTTCAGACGTGCAAACATCGACAATCGACTAATAACCTCTAAATTCGGAATGTGACTAAAAGGCGACAAGACGAATTAATGCGGAACCGGGACCGTCCCTGGAACGTTTTGCGACGTTGCATTTTGTCTGCGGTTTCGGGATTTTTGATCATTAAGAGTTGTTCAGGGTGACTGAGATGTTATAATTGGCGGCAGTTGCTCTAATTTTTCGATTTTTATGAATCGCTTTAGCTGAAATCAGTTTTTGGAAGTCAAAATGCAGAAAAACTGTTTTTTAATAACTTCGACGCCCTCTATCTTTTTAGGAACAAACTACAGAGAGTTTAGAAACGATAGATATACACTGACCGGCACAAAAAGAGAATCACAGATAATTTTTAAAATATTTCATCTATCTTTTATTTTTTGTTGTTGATAAGGATATTTTTTATTGTCAAGTTGCTAATAATTATATTTGGCGTATTTTTTGTAACTTGTTTATCATTTTATCACTTTTTTAGGGCTTAAAATTATTTTTCGGGTTATTTTTACTTCAGTTTGAAATTAGTTTTCGACTTGCGACCTTCGGTATTAATTTATTTCGTCCTAAATTTAATTAACCTACATTTATTCAAATAATGGCACTCTCACCAACAGATGCTGCTCGCGCCATTGCTCTTATTGAGGATGGTCGTAGTCACCATTATGTAGCTAATCTTCTTGGAGTATCATAGGTGAACATCCATAGAACATATAGGCGTTTTCTTGAAACTGGAAATTATACTAGAAGACCTGCTTCGGGCATGACAATTTCCACATTGCCTGTAGACGATCGTTTTTTACATCTTTTTATTCTTCAACATCGGGATGCCACTGCTGTTCAAGTAAAAAATCGACTTGAAGAAGCTCGCGAAGTGAATGTAAATGAGAGAACAGTAAGAAGATGCCTGAATGAAGTTGGCTTAATTGCTCGAAGGTCTGCTAATGCCCCAGAACTTCTCCCACATCATCGAGTAGCTCGTCTTCAATTTACTCGAGAGCACCTTCATTGGAACATAAATCAATGGAGATAAGTGCTCTTTTCTGACGAGTCTAGATTTTGCCTAAAATCACCTGATGGTCGCCAAAGTGTATGGAGAAAAGCTGGAGAAAAGTACGCATAGTGCAATATCGTTCCACGGGTTAGTTTTAATGGTGGGTAATTATTTGGGGAGGCATCACTACGGACTACCGCATGGAGCTTTCCGTTGTGAAAGGAGGATCATTGAATGCAGATCGGTATATAAGAGAAGTTTTACAAGATCACGTCATTCCATTTGCACCTCTAATTGGCAACAGTTTTATTCTTATGCATGATAATGCTCGACCACATGTTGCCAGGGCAGTACGTCGGTATTGAGACAATGGAATGGCCACCCCGGAGCTCCGACTTAAATCCCATTGAACATGTCTGGGACATGATGGGCAGACAACTTAGATCGCGTGTACCAACTCCAGACACATTGAAAGAACTTAGAAATATGCTAATTGACATATGGGAACAGTTGGACCAAAATGGCATAAGACACTTGGTGGAAGGGATGCATAGATGTATGGAAGCTTGGTTTCGAGCCAGATGGGGCAAAACCAGTTATTAATTTAATTTTTTTGACATGTATAACTGATTTTATATGGTTATCTCAATATTTGTTGTAATTAAATATTGCCACTTTATTTTTCTTTTATTTTATTACAATATTAATGACTTGTTATTACGAATCCAAGCTTAAATAAGTGTTAAATAATCTCAACAATAATACACATTTACCAAATCCAAGCCAAAGCAAAAATAAATATACATTTTATGATTTTAAAGAAAATATTTTAGTGATTCTCTTTTTGTGCCGGTCAGTGTATTTTACAAATATTTAGCTCTACATTTTTGTCCGAACACTTTTTTCCTCCAACCAATAGGAATCAAAATAAATCAATTTCTACATGGCGGAATTTTCGACGCCATTTATGGTTTTTGATTCCAAAAAAAACAACATCCGTGTATATTTAAACCAATTAAACCATACAACGTAGCTGAGAGCTTAAAGCGAAGTCTTAACTCCTTAATTTGTTGAATTGAAAATCTTTATTAACAGTTTTTTTTTTGCAGCATCCCTACCCATCGGAGGACCAGAAAAAGCAGCTAGCGCAGGATACTGGCCTTACAATACTTCAAGTTAATAATTGGTGAGTCAAGTTTCATTTCAATAGTTTCTGCATTATTGCCTTGTTTTATTTAAAACATTTTAAATATATGGATTCTTTAGGTGATAAAATGATGAACAGAAAAAAAACTGGTTAAAAAAAGGTTTTTAATATATATAGAAATAACACAAGAACTCCGGTTAAATACTAGGAAAATAGTATTATATATTTTATTTATGATATTCAATATTAGTTCTAGCTATTAAAGAATTAATTATTAAAAGATTCTTGTATAGTTACAAATATATTCATCTTAAATCTACTAAAATAAGGATCTTTTGGATACCCTCTATACAGGGTAAAATGAATTTTAAAAATGTACCTTAATAAACCCGCAATCTTCCACCCACGCACTAATGGCCCACCCTATATAGGGTAAATAAATGATCATTACTATCCAGATTTAAAGAACATAATTTACGTAGAACAAACAAGACATCATAGCAATGCAGCTTTAAAGAACACAATTGATAAAAAGTGGCAACAAACAACAAGTATTATTAAAAATGTATATAATCCAAATCGTTTCAAATTTTCACAAAAGTTCCAACGCTTAAATAAACGTTAATAAGTGACATGGAAACGCGAAAACATCGTCGACGGTTCACCGCAAATACGCAAACGAACAAACAATTCTGAAAGAATTCCAACATTTTCAACGTTTTCTGAATTCGGGGACCATTCGTCAGCGCGCGCGCGCTTTTGGACGAATTATTGCCCCGGCATTATTTAAAATATTAGCGACTGGCAATTAACCGACGCGAATTCCGCACGTTGCGTATTAATATCGCCAGTAGATGTGCCGATAAATTAACGCGCCCCCTCTCCCCCTTCACCACTGCCGGCTGAAATTAGGATTATTTCCGTCCTTTTTGAAATTCTATTCGTCTATATTGAAAAACGGATCGTTCGACGATTTAGCAACACTATACGAGTAGGGATGTTGTAATACCAGTAAAATATCGATACTGAGTATCGGAATCAAAGTATCGATACCGGTATCGAAAGGTTATCGGAACGAAAGTATTGATACCGATATCGGAAAAAAAAAGGTCATAGAGCACACCGACATACCATAAAGTGATCTTACAATATACTTTTTGTTTGTATTGCAAAGTCAAAACTAGTAAAATATTGAAACGAAAGTAGTAGTATCGAAATAAAAGTACTGTCCATATGAGTAAAGTATTGAAAGCAAAGTATCGGGTACTAAATTACCCGGTATCGATACCAGTATCATATCAGTAGTATCGCAACATCCCTATATACGAGGTCTGGCAATGGAGCGTGATAGTATAACGTCACTTTTTCTAAACAAAGCAACGTAACCATGACAACGGCTGTGTCAATGTTCTCATAGTTGTCCAAACTATAACCTTGGTTAGATTTGTACTTTGTTTACATTGAAATTTTATCTTAAATTAACCAATAATTTGTTAAATATTTTGAAAATTCGTAAACAAATCTCAAAAATCCCCTCAAGAATTATGAAGCCCAGCCCGGGACCCCAAAGATGAAAACAAATAGCAGGAATTTTGAAAAAAGCCTGTCGCAGCAGGGAATCGAACCCGGACATCCTTGTATGCTATAAATGTTGGACTATAAAGCATCCACTACGTTTTGTACAAACCATCTTGACACAAACTATTCTTATATTCCCATTGTCCAATCATTTTAAGGTTCATCATTAACGACTTCTTTCTATATTTCCTTTATCACTTCCTTGAATACATAAAAATCGTCAGACTGGCCGTTTCCGAATTTGCAGAGAAACTTGATGGAAAATCCTGCAACACTACAAAAGAGCGACAAAAAAACATTGCTACTTTCATACTGAATAACCTAGTAAATCTAATTTCTCTAGTTTAATCCAGGCCTTCCTTTATTTTGTTGTTGTTTGTATTCATTATCAACTTTTCAAATTCTAGAATTCTTCCTATCCATCTTCAATCAACTGGAATTTTTGTTTGTGTTAATGTTTAGTCTTTTAATTGTTTTTGACTGGTATTTTTTTAATATTATTTACAATAAAAATGCTTCTCAGATAATGATGATCCCAATATGACAAAGATAATCAATAATAGTCCGAAGAAAGAAAAAAAATTAAATTAATTGTCAAATATTAATAGCAGATATAGCTTTACCCGCCCTAAATATTACTGCAAACATTTCTGGCCCAATTAGCAAAACAAATATAGCTAATGGCGACCAAAATTGATATAAAGGGTTATGTAATCTATATTTACAGAATGGAAACTATTGTAATAGAATATTTAGTTATTAATAATGAATTAGATATGGCCGTGTTTGGCCTAACATATAGAGAAATCCCAAAACTAGTTAATTATAAAATATCAGAACCTACTTTAGATACATTCTGTATATCATCCAGTGTACAGACTCGATTCAACCCTGCTATTTTTTGATAAAACCTATATATCTGCGAACATTGTTTAAATATTAATTTAAAATCAATTTGTCTGTCCCATCTTTAAAAGGCTAAAGTTTATTTAATGGAACACTACATTTATTCGCAGTTTTGATTTAAAACTAACATCTGTTGGTATCCCGCAAGGTAGTATTGCAGCCCCTTTGCCCTTTATCATATTTATGAATGATCTATGTTGATGTAGTTTAAATATATCCCAATCTATAACTGTTTACGCTGATGATACTAATCTTTTGACAGAAGAGGAAACATTCCCTAAGCTACTTATCAATTGTAGTGATCTAGTCTGTAAAGGAAAAAAAAAGTTTACAAAAAAACAAACTTATTTTAAATCAAGCAAAAATTATCCCAATAATATATTAGATAATGAAAATCCGCTAGACGATGCATCTGTTGCAAAGGCAAAGTTTTTGATTATAAATCATGTCTAATATATTTGTTCCAATTTTTATTTAAATCACTTCATAAATAGAAGAGATATTAACATCACCCGGTATGTTAGCACAGTTTTCTTCTTACAGAAAATAAGATTTGTGTAACTATTGTTAAAATTATCCATAAAATCATCTTTGCAACATCGTACCTTAATTAAGATGCATCCTGTATACCATCCACCATATAAGCCCGATTTGAGCCTATGTGATTTTTTTAAATAATATTCCCGCGATACATTGTTTGCTAATTTCGCGTGAAATTACCATCAGCGGGGGCTCGAACAAAGACAAACTCCGAACTCAAACATATCGTCAGGTGCACGGTTCGTGATAACCCGCGGGGGCGGCAGTCGAAGGTAGGGGGGGCGGTAGGGGTGCGGGGGAGGTGGTTGCGTTAATTCCGAGCGTACAGATTACGCACGTTCGCTCCATTGGAAATCCTCTCGGTGTATGGAAATGTTGGTCAAATATATCATTCTGACTTGACATTGCAATTCTCTTATCTACGCCGTGCCGCTGCCGCAAGCCGAGAGGGAGGCGGCCGCCAGGCTGAAAAACAGAATTCGAGTGAGAGCGTGAGCCGCCGCCGCAGCTACCGCGGTTGCCTGCCTGCCTGCCTGCCTGCCACCCGGAGAGGGATCGAGGGACGGCGGGACAGAATTCCTCGCTGCTACGGCCAAATTGCAAACAAAACACCAGCGACAGGGTGGCCGTAACGTGCAGGAACGGATCCCAAGGTTTTTGTTTCGAAAACAGTTTCTCTGACCAAACTTTTCTTACCATAATGTTTCTTACCATAATATTTCTTACCATAATCTTTCTTCCCAAAACATTTCTTGTAAAAATATTTCTTACCATAATCTATCTTACCAAAATATTTCTTACCATAATCTAAATCTAAAATCTTTTTTTTGTAAAATCTTTATCACCATACTATTTTTTATCATAATCTTCTTTCTTATAGTCGAGCTGTCATTCCAAGATTTTTGTTTCAATAACTATTCTTTCTGACCAAAATCTTTCTTGCTATAATCTTTCTTACCAAAATCTTTCATAGTAAAATCTTTATCGCCATAATCTTTCTTACCATACATGTTTTTATTATAATCTTCTTTCGTATAGCAGAACTGTCATCCTAAGATTTTTGTTTTAAAAAACTATTCTTTCAGACCAAAATCTTTCTTGCCATAATCTTTCTTACTAAAATATTTCTTGCAAAAATCTTTCGTAGTAAAATTTTTATCACCATAATCTTTCTTACTATACATTTTTTTATTATAATCTTCTTTTATATAGCAAAGCTGTCATTCCAAAAGTTTTGTTTCAAAAACTGTTTTTTCTGACCAAAATTTTTCTTACTAAAATCTTTCTTACCAAAATCTTTCATAGTAAAATCTTTCTTACCATATATTTTTTTTATTATAATCTTCTTTCATATAGCAGAGCTGTCAAACCATTTTTGTTTCAGAAACATTTCTTTCTAACCAAAATCTTTCTTGCCACAATCTTTATACTAAAATCTTTTTTACCAAAATGTTTCGTATTAAAATCTTTATTACCATAATCTTTCTTACCATACGTTTTTTTATTATAATCTTCTTTCATATAACAGAGCTGTCATCCCAAGATTTTTGTTTCAAAAACATTTCTTTCGGATCAAAATGTTTCTTACCATAATCTTCTTTGCTAAAATCTTTCATACCAAAATTTTTCTTAGTAAAATTTTTATGACTAAAATTTTTCTTACCACTCTTTTTATCATAATCTTCTTTCTTATAATCTGATTATTATCACAAGATTTTTGTTTCAAAAACATTTCTTTCTGACCAAAGCCTTTCTTGCCATAATCTTTCTTACCAAAATATTTGTGTCCTTAATACATTTTTTTATTATAATCTTCTTTCGTATAGCAGAGCTGTCATCACTAGATTTTTATTACAAAAACATTTCTTTATGATCAAAATGTTTCTTACCCTAATCTTCATTACTAAAATCTTTCTTACCATACTCTTTTTATCATAATCTTCTTTCTTATAATCTGGTTATCATTAAAAACTTGTCTTTCTGACCAAAGCCTTTCTTGCCACAATCTTTCTTAC